GACTCCACGGCACATAACAACAACAACAAATATTTTATATATGTAAACACTCAGCCAAGTTTTTCTTGGGTTTGCTTAAATAAAATAGGCCATGATGATTAAAATTTTTAAAGGTCAATCACTACTAACACTGTATTTCATTTCCTTCTGATTGTTTTCTTTATATGTCTATTATACTTATTTAGCATGCATATGTATTATTGATTATGCAGTGACTATGTACTACAAGGAATCCTGGTGTGGTGCTGTGGGCTAATACGTCAGACTGCAAAGTCGTTTGAACTGCCAGGTCGATGGTTCAAGCTCACCAGCTGCTCCTTGGAAATCCTATACAGGGTCACTATGCGTCGGAATCGACTCAACGGCATTAACACCAATATATACTGCAAGGGGGCTTCTAAAAAATGCATGGAAAAATTACATTATATGATAACATTTTTAATAGAATATGATTTTTTAAATGACACATATGGCCAGGTAGATACGACCCAGGTCTTCCACGTATCAAACACCAAGAGGGCATTATATGTGCAAAAGACTCATAGGGGAAACTTCTATGAGAGAAACTCAGGAGAGTGCCCAGGGATACAAAAGAGCTGTCAGACCATGGGACAGGTTGAACTCAGGCAAAAGAGGGAAGTAAAGAAGGATGCTGGATGGCATTATCTTACTGTAGTTTTGAGAGAGTTCATCAAACCCACTAGGCAGATCTTAAACTAAGGGCACCCATCTGAAGAGTCCTGTGCATTCCCTGAATGGGCCTTCTGTAGTGCCCCTGCCACACTCTGTGACTGTCCACAAGAGTCACAGCATAGCTAGTCAGTTTCATTTCCTGCAGCTGGGGGTCTGAGAGACTCCCACTGCCACAGTATTTGGGATGATAGATAGAGCAGGCTTGGGAAGCACAAATATATACATTTACAGTGGCTATCTCTGGGAGGGATCATGGAACATTTGTGGATTTTTCTTTTACATTTTTAGATCTTCTACAAGTTCTGCACTGCAACATGCATACTTTAAAGCCAATGTGGTTTGATATTTTTGCAGGCCTCTTTCTTTACGAATGAAATCCTTTCCTAATTTCAGATGCACAATGATTGAGGAATACATATGTATGTAGGTGTGTGTGTGTGTTTGACAGAGAGCTCTTTTGGAACAATTTATAGCAGGTTCTCTGATTCTTTTTCACCTTCACCAACTGCTTCTCCTCCCATAAAAAAACACTAGAAACTTCTCTTTTAGAGAAAGAGGCAAGTCTATTAAAAAGCCTCTATCCACATTCCCTTAACTAACCAAGTTTACTGGCTACTTAATACAAGAAAAAGCAGGAACTAATTCATAAACTCCAATTATGTGTTCTAAGCGCTCCACAGAACCACAATAGTATTATTTGGGGAACCAGTACAGATTAGGACCTTGTGAAATTCAAAGGGAAGTTATTTGTGCTCAGAGAGATTTATAACTAAAATATGCTAGTCAGTAACACAAGTTAATTATCAGTGAAACCAAGCGGCGCTGTCGTGGTGCATTTGAACCAAGAACCTGTGAACGCCATTTGTAGGAGCTCCTGTCCTTTCCTTCCCATCAACAAAAACCTGTTAGCAAAGAAGTACTTGAGAAGTGGTTATATATGAGCTATCATGAGGACTGACCTTCTCCGCAACTCATATCCCAAAGCCCAAAGTCATGCTTTGGTTTTAGAGAACACTTTTTGAGTTCTACACATTAAGTAGATTGCACAAGTATGTAAACACTTCTTATGGTGTGGCGCTGTAATATAAGCACTGGACTGCTAACCACAAAATCAACAGTTCAAACCCACTAGTCGTTCCTCCAAAACCCTACACAGGGTTGCTATGAGTTGGAACTGACCCAGTGGCACTAAATAGCAATAACAAGGACAACACGGTTAACCATGTTCATAGGGTCACAGGAAATTGCAGGAAGACTCGTCCTCTTGCAGTCTGGTAGCATAGTGCTTACGAATCGGGCTGCAAACCTTAAGGCCAGCAGTTCGAAACTACCAGCTGTTCCGCGGGAGAAAGATGAGGCTTTCTGCTCCCGTAAAGATTTACAGCCTCAGAAACCCTGTACAGGGTCGCTATGGGTCGGAACCGACTTGATGGCACTTAACAACAACAACAATACCCTTTATTGAGAAAGTGTAGCTTGTGCTCACTTTAAAAAAGAAATGCTTCAAGTAATTATGTTGTTTATTATAGCTGATACTGCTATGTGCCGTTAAGTAGGTTCCAATTCATAGTAACCCTGTATAGGATTTCTAAGCCTGTAAATCTTTACCAGGGGAGGGGGGGGGCGGGCAGCAAGTCTTATCTTCTCTCAAGGAGAGACTGGTGGATTCTAACTTCTGACAATTGTTAGTAGCCCATTGAGTAACCTACTACACTTATATTAAAGCCTGTGTCTGGACCTGAGAAGACATAAATTGGTAACTTACATTGAGAGTTTAGCAAAGTGACTGAGTAGTACATGCTCAGCCATTGAAAGCTATTTGTATCCTACCTTTTGTTCAGAGAAACTGAAGAACTCTACACTGATTTAAACAGTATCAATTACTAATGTTAATATCCATTGTATAATTTTTGTTATGTAAAGCATTTCTAATCAGTGTTTATTCTCTTTATTTCTTTTCTCCTTAGGTCTTATACAATATATTAATTGCTTTCACAAAGATGCATAAATTTGAAGCCATAGAGACAGTTGATATTTTGGCTGGATGTGCCCGATTCATTATTGTGGGGATCGGGGGAGTATTTTTTGGCATCATTTTTGGATTCATTTCTGCTTTTATCACACGCTTCACTCAGAATATATCTGCAATTGAACCACTCATCGTCTTCATGTTCAGTTATTTGTCCTACTTAGCTGCCGAAACACTCTATCTTTCTGGCATCTTGGCGTGAGTACAAAAGACCAACACTCATAGTTATAAAAGAAAATTCAAAGCTATAGTATGTATTATATAGACAGCAGCTCTGGTGACACTGTAGGATAAGCAATGAACTGCTAACCACAAAGTTGGCAGTTCAAACTCACCAGCTGCTCCACAGGAGAAATGCGAGGTTTTCTGCTCCCGAAAAGAGTCAATGGCACACAGCCATCACCTCCACCATTGTTTCCACAGTCCTGGTGGTGCCCTGTAAGATAAGCACTGGGCTGCTAACCACAAGGTTGATTGGCAATACAAAACCACAAACTGCTCCTCAGAAACTCTATACAGGGTTGCTGTAAATCAGACTAGAGTGTATAGCAGTGGACTTGGTGGTTTTTTTAAATTATATAGATGAGATATCTGGAAAAGGTATGATGTCTGAAACTAATCCTTGAAAAAAAAAAGTTGCAAGATTCAGGATTTTTAAATTTTTGTATAATCTGATTCAGGTCTTTTGCAAAACAAATGTTCTCCCCAACATTTGCATTGGCACTCCTGATTTACCTGAGAAGACTATAGTAATGATAAAGTCAATACAGAATGCTCTGAAAATCAGATGCTGAGAAGAGCTGGGAGAAATTCAAGGTTAAAATCTCATCTCAGTAGTTCATTTCTTCATTGAAAAATTAATTATTGTAAAGTTAAAGGAAAACCTGCCATGAGGGACCATAATTCCTGGGCTTGGCCTTCAGCTATTTTCCTCAAACCACATTGCAGCCCCATGACCTGGCAGTGTGGAATGAAAATAGGAAGATAATGTAAGACTAGAAAGTTTAGGTTTCTTTTTTTTTTTCCCCCCTCATGAAAGTACTTTTTAACTGTTTATCTTTGCATAGATGTTAGAATGAGGCCGCTCAACTTGGCTTATTATATATCTGGTCATCTTCTTTTCTCTATGATATATCCTCAGACCCAGCTACCTGGGAAGAGGGATTTTATTTTATTTTATGCAAATACCAATTTTAACTACATCTGGTAGTGTAAATTCCAGGCAGCCATCATCTTCCCAGTTTAAAAATTATCAAAACTGAGAAGACTAGGACAATTCTTTCTTTTCTACCATAATTGGTAAGTGGCTGCAGAACAGAAATGTTTCAAACAAAAAATTCTCATAAAATGATGGAGGAAATGAAGGCCTTGTTGAATTTTTCTGTCTGTGCAACTGAAATGGATTTGTTTTGTTGAAGGCAAAGTATGGTAGAAAGGAAAAGACGGGACTGACAAAGCTCATGATGAAGTAGGGGATGATAGAAACTATTCTTCTTCTGACTTGCCCATGTGAATTACATGCCATTTTTATTGTGAACAAGTCATACCCTGCACGCCATCCTCACCACACCTCCTTCCTGGTGGAAACCTCTTGGGGAAGAAGAAAGAGAGAGATAAAAAAGAATCTCTGGAAAATCTGCAGCCAGAGAAGGGGAATGGAAGAGACATTCTTTCTGGATTAAAACCGAATTTTTTCTATGTGTGCCATTCCCGGTAGGGAGGAATTTTAAAGGAGTGGGAAACATTTGATTCTCTCTGAGCTTTTGTTTCTTTTTCAGAATCACAGCCTGTGCTGTGACAATGAAAAAGTATGTGGAAGAAAACGTGTCCCAGACATCCTACACGACCATCAAGTATTTCATGAAGATGCTGAGCAGCGTCAGTGAGACCTTGATCTTCATCTTCATGGGCGTGTCCACTGTTGGAAAGAACCACGAGTGGAACTGGGCCTTCATCTGCTTCACCCTGGTTTTCTGCCAGATCTGGAGAGCCATCAGTAAGACACATCATGGGCTCTCAGGGGTCTTCTGCCCTTTTTATTTTATTTTTATTCATTCATTCAATGTTTTGTTTTTTTTTAAATAAACACATAGTCATTTGATGCTAACTGGGTTTCAGTTAGAGGAATATAGATACCATGAAAGATTAGGAATGCTTTCTGTTTGCTCAGTCAGTCAGCTCAAAGAAATTAGTAGATGATAAGATTCTGCACTGATTTGGCTAGAGCAAAGGAATATTTTCAATGAAAGAGAGAACTTTCACATCAACACATTTAAATATAACTCAGTAAGCTTAACCTTTTTCTCTTCACTTCTTTGCCAATGTTTACCCTTTTGCACCTTAATTCACATATAGGTTATAAACTGTGGGTATTTATACTTTTGTTACAGGAAAAATGAGATCTTTCACATTTTTCACATAAAATTCATGTTTTATGACAGGTAATACAGTTAGAAAATCTTCCCCCAAATAATACAGGTAGTTTTATTTGAGAGTTGAGAATATATGTGTGTGTGTGGAAGGTATAGGACACAAAGGCAAGGAAATGAATCTTCACTTTTTTTCAAGTGCTTGGTTCTCACATGGAAACTACAAGGCAACTCTATGATATAACAGTGGCCACCCTTATCAAGTAAGTCTAACTGTTATAAATGAAGTATCTTGAATGGTGGCTGCCGATTTATTTTGTATATTCGAGTTTTTGGAATTAAAGATCAACACTGAGTACTGAACTTCAATATGTGCTCATATGTAATCTTTTAGCTAGAACTTATATTTTAAAAAGACATTGATCGACATTTGAAGCTTTCAACACAGTGCAACTGGAGTCATCAAGACAATTGCAAAGAGAAATGAGGAGAGATGGCTCAGAATCCATCTTGAATATACCATTCAGGATCTAGGAAGGAATAACAAGAATGCAGAAATATGAATAAATTGATAAAAATAGCTAAATAGATAATTTCAGGTCTTCAGGAGAGAAAAGAACACAGGAAATTGTAATATGAGTTTATAATTTCCATTCAAGTCCTGGCAATATTACTAACTAGCTATTTGATCTTAGGCAAGACATTTAACGATTTATAATCTTTCTCTTCAACCACAAAAATGATGGGTTTCTTTGACCTTTTTCGTTCTAACATTCTTTGAATCTATAAGGAACTAGTATGAATGTGAAAGGAAATTATACTACATATACCTCTGGTAGTGTAGTGGTTACAAATCAGGCTGCAAAACGCAAGGTCAGCAGTTTGAAACTACCAGCTGCTCTGCGGAAGAAAAATGAGGCTTTCTGCTCCCACAAAGATTTACAGCCTTGGAAAGCCTGTCCAGGGTCGCTATGGATCAGAACCGACTCAACGGCACTTAACAACAACAACAATAGCTTGAACCCAGTCAACAAGAACAATCTGGGAAATGATTAATAGTATGGGCATCTCAACACTGTTGACCCTTAGGACTATCAGTCCAATTACTTCATTTTATAGCTGAGGAAATAGGAATTGATGGAAAGGTCATCATAGTCCACATCACAGTGACTGACAAAGACAATTGTCACAATCTGATTCTTGATAGCCAGTCTCATTTATTGTAGCTAATAACAGTGCACACTTGTGAAGGTTTACAATATATGTTATTTTCATTTTTATTAGTTGCCATTGGGTCAATTCCAACTCACGGTGACCCCATGTGTACACAGTAGAATTATTCCATAGTCCCCAAGTCTATGTTCCAAGGTACCTCTTTGAACTACCAACCTTTTAGGTAGTAGTCAAGTGCTTAGCAGTTTGCACCTCCCAAGGACTACAATGTACAAAGGGGCTTCAAAAACTTTTGGAAAAATTGTATTATCTTTACATCTAATTTTTCCACAAACTTTTTAAAACCTCCTCACATAAGGCCCTGTCTTATGTTCTTTATGGATAGTGATGGTTGTAGTTGTGTGCTGTTGAATTAGTTCCAACTTGCAGTGACCCGACATAGGATTTCTAAAGCTGTAAATCTTTCTACCATGGGGCTGGTAAAAATAAAAAAGCTGACCTTGTGGTAAGCAGCCCAATTCATAACTTACTATGCTCCCAGGGCTTCCTTCTGGATAGCAAATTTATTTAATCATAATATGTACCTTTTGAGGTAAATGCTTTTCATTTCTCTATTGAGCAGATGAGGAAACTGAGGACATGGAAAAATTAAAAACCATGCCCCAAATATTATAACCAGTCTAAGGAGCTCTGGTAGCGTAAATGGTTACAAATCGGGCTGTGAACCACAAGGTCAGCAGTTCGAAACTACCAGCTGTTCCACGGGAGAAAGAAGAGGCTTTTGGCTCCCGTAAAGATTTACAGCCTTGGAAACCCTGTACACGGTTGCTATGAGTCGGAATCGACTCCACAGCATACAACAACAACAATAGAGAGTAGCCAGGACAAACAAAGTAAAATGAATCATTTAAAACTTTTTGTGTGTACCTTTTGTGCTGTCAATACATCTATTGTAATAGAGAGTACAAAGACTTTCTGTGAGTCTATGTGGTTAGAAGTCACATTAGGTTGTTGAGAGTTAGAGACAGGAGGTCAGTGGGACTAGAATCTGCCCCACTCACCTCCTAGACTTTAAGGAATTCGCTTTTGAACATTTGCCAATTTCCTTTCATGTTTTCATCATTCAACCTCACTAAGGAACAAATCCACAAAAAAGATTCTCTCTGCAGAGATCAGTCACATTTAAAAAAAGTGTCCTCTTTTGGTTAGTCAATGCAAACATGGGATTATAAGAAAGCTTTTATCCCCCAAATAATATCCTTAATTTTACCAGCTTTGAAATATAAAGCAAAAATTACAAGTGCAGATTAGAAAGTATATATCAATACTGACATTGAAAGGTATCAAACTTTCATTAGCTTGCACTTACGTACTTACACATATACACTCACACACATACACAATGCTAGGAAGCTGCCTAAGAAGACTTCAAACTTGCAAGGAGCTGAAAGAGGGAATGGTTATAAGCTATTCTATTTGGGATCTGCAGTCATAGGTATTAATGGAACTAGCTAGAACACATTGTGTGAAGAAAACCATGTGCACACTGCCTCGGTTCAGCAGCACTGTCTTGTCTCATGTGTGACTCTCTGTTCTAACTCGTCTTTCCCCTTTCTAGGCGTATTTGCTCTCTTCTACGTCAGTAACCAGTTTCGGACTTTCCCCTTCTCCCTCAAGGACCAGTGCATCATTTTCTACAGCGGTGTCCGAGGAGCTGGAAGTTTTTCACTTGCATTTTTGCTTCCTCTGTCTCTTTTTCCTAGGAAGAATATGTTTGTCACTGCTACTCTAGTAGTTATATATTTCACAGTGTTCATTCAGGTTAGTCGTTTTCTTTGACACTAAAACTCAGGAGAGTCTTGAAGAAATATACATTCAATTTCTGCAGTACAAAAAATAAATACGCAAAAGGCACTCTGATCTTGGTGCCCTCTACTCAGTATCAAATCTCAGCTATTTCTTGATGTCTGTGTCTTCCTTTAGCCTCTAAAATGTGTTGCCTTTTCATTAATAAAAAAAATTATCAGTCAAAATATTACTGAGTAACAGGTGAACAATACCATACATTAATGAAAATGAGATTCCAAATAATACTGCGCAGCACAATTTTTTATTTTTTGTTAATCTGGAGTTGGGTCCCATTTAACTAGAATAGCAGAGGCTATTTTAAGGAATGAAATGAAATTAATGTTTTAAAATATAGACAATATTTCATATCTATTTTTATTGCAGAACTGAAAAGAACTAAAGTAGCTAATATTGGAGCATTTATTTATACAGAAAAAAGCTAGTATATACACACAAACAAATTAGACATCCTGATAGTTTTGCTGATAGCTTTGCTGTGTATAGCAATAATTTGCACCCCAACAAAACCTTTTATCATTTTCTTTGCATTCTAGGGAATCACAATTGGACCTCTAGTCAGGTACTTGGATGTTAAAAAGACCAACAAAAAAGAATCTATCAATGAAGAGCTTCATATTCGTGTAAGTTACCTCTTTGTTATAATTAACCATTTTTTAAGGTTCCCTATTTTTCAGTTGTGGAAGTAATCTAAAGATCTGGTGCAATGTGCATCCATGTCACTAGACTTACAGTCTCCTTCCTCCCCAGCTCCCAGAGTGACTGTACTATAAGAAATTACCACAAACTTAGTGGCTTAAAACAATAAAAATGTATTCTTGGACAATTCTATTGGTTAGAGTGCAACTCAAGTCTCATTATACTAAAATCAACGTATCAGCAGGGCTGCCTTCCTTTCTGGAGACTCTGGGAGAACAACCTTTTCTGGCTTCTAGAAGCTACCTGCATTTTCTGGTCAATAGCCCCTTTTCATCTTCAAAGAGTATTCTGGCCAATCCAGCTGTTCTCACATCTCAAATCTCTCTGATTTGCTTGTTCTGCCTCCTTCACCCTTGGTGTTGTTAAGTGCCCTTGAGGTGGTTCCAACTCATAGTGACCATGTATAAGGTTTCTGGTAGGTTTGAGCTACTGACCTGTAGTTAGCAGTCCAGTGCTTATCCTACAGCACCATCAACAGTCCTCCTCTCATAGTTTAGAAGGCTGTTGCTGTTGTTGCTAGGTGTTATCCAGTTGACTCTGACTCCACCCTCACAACAGTTGTTACCCTCGAGCCCACTGTTGCTGCCACTATGCCAATTCACCTCATGGGG